CGGTTACGATACATATTGTAAAATCTGACTTGCGTTCTGCTGCGCATAGAGATAGGCTCCCGATGACTTTCATAATTCTTTAATGAGAGGCAGGATGGCTCACCACCACTAATCTGTCTCTTGGCAGGAACTCCCTTGACGTTATTATTCTGACTTGTAGTCCCGAGAAACTCGAGGATCTTCGGTCCGAAATCCTCCAAGAGGAGCTCGAAGTTCCCGAATATAATCCATGGAATCCCTTTAGCTAATTCCCAAATACACTCGAAATGCCAAGATCCCCTGTTTAGCTGTATATTCGTCGTGTTACCGCATTCGCGATGAAACAGAAGGAAAAGTGCATTTAGTCAGGCGATCGTTATCAACGTAAAGGAGATGGATTTCTTTTGCCTTTCACATTTTGTTTGCTTCTTTTATCGTTTGGCTATTTAATTTGTTACGCAGCAACGTGTATTCAAGTGTGTATTTTAAGTTAGAATAAATATTTTTTTCATATATATATTAATTATATCTTGCTTTGAACTTAAGTGGCTATTTCATCATATTTGATCGATTTTTATTTTCTAGTTTAGTGATATTTATTAATATTACTTAAATAGAGATGAAAGAAGAATTTATAAATGCATGTTGTAATATGCATCTATATAAAAAAATACATAAAAATTAATATAAAATATTAAATCTACATATAATAAAAATATTAAAATTTTCTAAAAATTAATACGCGCTCTCGAAAAAACGTGAAGTTACGCAATCTGATATTTACTTAAGTAAAGTTCTCATTAAAGATATTTTTGTTCAATAGACGTCTGCTTTTGAATATTTTCTATTGAAAAGGAAGAAGGTAAATATACATATATAAACAAATTTATGAACTTTTCTACTCTCGCGTATACCCTTATACGGTAGCTCTGTGTATGTTTCTGCCACGCGGAAGCCCGCATAGTGTGCAATCTATGCACTCGACGAAGTTTACCCGCCGCACTGCAGTGGTAACGACTCGGCTGCTGCGCGCCTTCTCGCGCCGAGAATGGATTCTCCCCACCTGTTCTGTTCGAAATAATTTTCGGAGAGCCTCGTGTGTACACAGTTTTCGTCGCTCTTTCGTGCGCACTCACACACGTATGCATATATACGTAGCACATGCGCATGCACGCACGCATACATAACATATACACACATACATCGTCGTACCTGACAGGTATCCTGATGATAGATATGCGCATGTACCGGTTTTTTTATTCGTTTTCGTTTCTTCCGATCCCTTCGCGATTCCCTGGCAAGCGGCCAGGCTCGCAGTTCGCCCGAACCAGGACGCGGGCTCTGAAGTTCGACGCGCGGCCCCGTTAGGCAGCACCCATTTCAAAATGAATTTTTCTCCTCTCTCTCTCTCTCTCTTTTCTCCATCTCCTTGTTCCTTTTTCTGTGCGAAATGTTCCGGGTAAAACGAGGCTGCGTCGAAGTTTGCAAACCCGCGCGTACATTTCTGAGCGAGTCCGTGATTTTTTGGAACGCGATGTTTCCATAAAAATAATAAATACATAAATTGATGTGGAGATATTTTCATTATTAATCTTCCACGATGTACTTAAAATTCATGTATGCACAGAATATAATATCGTTGGATCTCTCTTGATTGATCGTGCCGTGATTATCTTATTCGGTTAATTAAATTTATGTTTTAAAAGGTAAAGAAAAGTAATTATATAATCTATATAAGTAAAATAGGATGGAAATTTGTAAGTGAAAAGTTTTGCTTTTTACCGTGGACGATGTATGTTGTGTAACAAAGAGCGCATGATGATTGATCGAGGAAGAAATCATGTAAAATTCAAACGTAATCTATTTTCGTTTGTTTACCAGACGACACTGTTGATTTAATCGTGGAACTCTTTCTCTATATATATTCAATACTTTTAAGGAAATATACGGAGTACAGTCATCACTGAGCTGATTCCGCAATATTAGGTTTTCAGAGATTTGTCAGGAACATATGTTGGCATCCTCTGGGGAAATAACAGGAAGGACTTTGCGCAATACACATTCGTCTGCATATATTCATTACGAATGTTTATCGTACATAAAGACTTTAATGGACAATAGCTTTCAAAGAAACTTGGATTAAATCTACAAACTATACTTTGTTTTCTGATTGTTTCTTCGTCCCGTTTTTCCTTTTGTTTCACCACTATTCGCACTATTTTCCGACTCTTCGCGAGAGATTTCACGGATAGTTCGGTCGCACGTACAAGATGAAATGCCAACGGGAGAAGCAGACCGCAAGACGAGGTCTCAAAGCTGAAAACTGCTTGTGAATTTTTCAGACCACGATGAATTGCTTCTGATAGCGAGTACGGACGCGAAAGACGGGATCTCAAAGGAGGAGAGATGTCTTACTGATGGACAGATCGCGCGATTTGTAATAATTCGACGAGCTCCCGCATCCGCGAGCATTACATATTATATACCAACGAAATAAATCTGTAGTACCTCCGAGTAAAGCACGGTGGATTAAGAAACTTTCGAAAGTTTGTTGTCGCGTGGAAACTTAAATTTACGATCGTTACACTTCCTCGTAATTCGATTTATTTAGTAGCACTCGTGTGTGCGTTGTGCAAAAAAAGATTGAGTCGATTCACGACGGAGATTCAATGGACGGGTTATCTCCGATGTTTCGTTTAATTGTTCAATTGATTGACTTACCGACTGATTATCGACTTTCCGGTTAAGTTGAAGTATTTGACTGACACTGACTGACCGCACTATCTCACGTTAATTACCGGACTTCACTACCTTTTCGGTTATACACTATAATTTTTTAGTCCGGAAATGATCGGATCGTGCAAACAAAGTTTAATTGTAAGCGAAGAGATTCAAAGTTTAACTTCTTCGTTTGCACTTTTGCGCAATGTCTTAATTTCCACGCGCTATTCACTGCGTCCTTATATATAATTATTTTAAGCGTTGATATAGCCTCTCTTGAGCTATAATAAATCGGAGTAAATCGTAAAAGCAATTTTGGAAGACAATCGATTCGAACAAAATTCAAATGGTAATTGTCAAATTTAGACAATTTGATAAAAGTGTGATCGTTAAGAACGAATTGAGAGACACGGAAAATTTTTCTGATTCGCAATTTTTCTAGATCAACCGCTTAATGCTTTTTATAATCTTTTTAAATATAAATCGGAAAATTTGAAATCAAATTATTCGTGCAATTTTTTATCTTATATTACTGTAATAGCAATTGAGAGATTGGAATAATATAAGAATTGTATCTCTGTCTCTCTCTTTCTCGTTAAAAAAAATATATATGTTTTCATTAATAATCTATTGGTGGTTTATTAAATTGCACTACAAAGAATATATTAACAATGAAAAATAGCATGCTTTTAAAATTTTGTAGCGGGATTACAACCCTTGCTAAGGTACCATAAAGGCTTAATTTAAAAGCTTTAAATTTGCATTTCGGACTTCATCGTCTTTTGTGAGTTTTATGAATACGTTAGCAAATTAGCTCATCACAACAGTGACGTTGAATGCATTAGACTGTTTCATAGGTGAAGGAAAATGAACCATAATATGACAATCACTTTCCTCATAAAAAGCAGCTGTGCAAAGTATTTCACTTCAAATTTTGTAGTTGTATATTTTAAAATACAATTACGGGAAAAAAACTTTATAATTATGATGTATTCCCTAGATCTTTAAAACTTTGCAAGATACATAATCTCAAAATTTGAGCTGAAACAACTTATAATGTTCCGAGAAAACTCAGTTGCGAACAATGTCGGCCAGTTATACTATAGTTGTATCATTTGCGACAGAAAATCCAGAATCTCATCATTATGCTTCATGTCTGAAGATGTTCCATTTTTCTCTTATATTTATGAAGGCTCAAAAAGAATGACTTCCTATCCCTCATCACGAAACGTTTGCGGATAGAAAGATCTCTCTCTCTCTCTCTCTTTCTCGTAGAGTCGTTCTCGACAAAACGCAATATCGCATCGCGATTACAAACGTGCGCACATTTGTGTAACGAGCGCAATATTATGCATGATTCGCGACAAAGCAAATCCCGGAATTTCGTCATTGCGTTCTGTTTGAAATGTTTCTTATCGTTACAATTGACAATAAATCCAAATTGCACGAAGAAAGATTGAATTTTCTCACTTTCAATTAACTTTCGGATAAATATAGAAAATAATGAGCGTTATAAGTCTTTATATAAGTCAGAATAATAAGTAAGAGCGATATCAATCTTTACAAACGTCAAATATAATATAATTTATAAAAGCTCTTTAGAAAATTTTAATCTACAAATTAAAAGGCAATAAGAGCTACATAAGTTCTATACTAGAAATATATTTGTGAAACGAATTATAACATAAATTATTAAAAATTATACAGAAGTAAGTTCAATTCGTCGTACGTTTCGGTTGTCTTTTCCAACCTTCTTCAGCGCAATTAATAATTAAAATATTAGTATAAATTAACAATAAATTATTCATCGATGTCATTATAATAAAAATAAAAATGTCCGGATTCAAGTTATATGCTAACGCCCGAGATCAACGCATTTATAACGCAAAAGCATTATTTAGTATATATTCTATTCCTCACAACGTCATTATATGTAATAGTCGCGAAATAGATCTCTCGCTAATTGTTCTGTTAGGAGGTCGGTTGCGAATCTCGAATAATTTATTGTTAATTTATACTAATATTTTAATTATTAATTGCACTGAAGAAGGTTGGAAAAGACAACCGAAACGTACGACGAAGTGAACTTACTTCTGTATAATTTTTAAAAATTTATGTTATAATTCGTTTCACAAATATATTTCTAGTATAGAACTTACGTAGTACTCTTATTGCCTTTTTATTTCTAGGTCAAATATAATCTTCAATCAGAACGCATATCTCACTCTCCGAAGGAAAATCTCCGAGAGTGCAATGATATAGATAAATTTACCGATGCTGAATATATATTTTCGACTCACCTGATAGTCCATGTAATTCCCGTAGCCCATGTGATTGCATGTGCAGGCGCAGGCCTGAATGTGCCTTCGCATGTCGAGCTCGACCTCTTCGCCGCACACACCTCTGCTCGTCGCCATCATCGTGTCCCCCATGCAATAGCCGCCGGTGCAATACATCCTCGGGTCACTCTGATCCAGGTAACCCCCACCGGTGTCGTCGTATCCAAGTCCGCTAGTGCACCTGGAATCCGAGGCGTATCCCACCCGGGACTGAGGACGCTCGTCGTATCCCAGTCTAGACTGGGGCCGATGGAATGTCGAGGATACATCCTGGAAAGAAAAAGAAAATACAAATCACTGTGCGCCTTTAGTTCGATTACAGGGACAGAAATGCGATTCTTTTTCGATAATCCTTGTTTTTTTTTTTTTAAAAGGTGTCCAGTTTTTTCTCCTCCGTGATTGAATTTCGAGAGTCATGTGTGCGCATAAATTAATCACAGGTTTCGCAAAAGTCAAATAATCTTTGACTAATATACATATTCATTATAATATATAGAATTACTTTTCATTGCTCGAATTGCTTTATTAAATTAATAATTCTTCTCCAATATTAACACGCGATGAAATATATAGTATATATAAAAATTGATTATTTAATTGAATTACATTTTTGCATTTTGGATGTATTACGTATCTGCCAAAAGCAATTTGGCCGATTAATACATTTTCATAAATGAGATATCGCCAGCCAGAATCTCTTAAAATATGAAGAGATTTAATATCCGAAACGGCAAGCATTTAGAATTTGAAAAGAGTCGTCTTAATGTAACAAAAAGGTGCAATGCATTGGTATATGGAGATTGAAATTGCGTAAGAGCGTACATAAGCGTGTCAGTTGCATCTGTTGATGAAATCTTTCCATGAAATATTCGCTTCAACTATAATCTTCTATAATTCACATTTACGTAATAGAAAAGGTTACGTACTACTATGAATTATATCAATTTTTTTCATTACATTCTACAAGAGAAAATATGTTTTATGCAAAAATCCGTGGTTCTCTATAAGAGATATATTTTTTTTATATTAAATACAGAAACTGATCGCATATATCGAAATTCGGAGATTCGTCATTTCTTTATTTGTTATAAATGTATATTATTTAAACATTTTCTTGTAATATAAGTACCCGCTTTTTTTTATTACATTCTACAAGAGAAAATATGTTTTATGCAAAAATCCGTGGTTCTATAAGAGATATATTTTTTTATATTAAATACAGAAACTGATCGCATATATCGAAATTCGGAGATTCGTCATTTCTTTATTTGTTATAAATGTATATTATTTAAACTATGTATGACAGAAAGGGCATTTTATTTCGCCGCGTTTATCTCTTGTTCATTCTTTTGGTATATTCGCAGTTACCACCATCGCAATGGCTTACAAGTCCACCGTATTCCGCACAGTATGCACCGCATTCTCGTTCGATATGGGTAACAGCGCGACGATCGTCATCGCGGATCGCGCGTCGTTGTATCGCGCTATCTTTCCGCTTCGATACGGGGGTCCTCTCGTAACAGTAAAGTATCGATATCGCTAAAATAACCGGAACATATGTGTACAGCCTTTGAAGCCGAAACCACGTACGGGATCCTGGAAATTCGTCCAGTAACGTTCCACCCCGTCATCGCCATACGATTCCGAACGATAGAGACTGTAAAAACAGAGTTAGCACCTTTCTACGCGATTTCGCGAAAACGCGGCAAAAATGTCTCGGACGGTATATTTTTGATTGACACTTTGTCTATTTCTCGAGATTTGTGTTCGAATCGATGAACCTTGTAAGCTCTATCAAGTTTCGCGAGATAATATACATTTTTTAAAATAAAATATAATATCATATATCATCTTAACTTGTCACTCGTAATTAAAAAAAGTTTCTATGAAAATTTAAATAAAAGAATATATTATTACTTCTGATAATTAAGACAGCTATATAAAATAATTTTTAAGAATCTTTGTTTTTTTATATCGACAAAAAGTTAATGTTTTTAATTAAACTGATTTATTTGATGAAATTTTGACGATTTGTCTAATCTTACTGCGATAAAATTTTTTGATCTAGAAAAAAGCATGTAATGCGACATAGGAAAATTAAATAGAGAAAATGCACGTTTCGGGAGCCATCTGCGATGATATTGCTCGAGAAGGAAACATTGAGGAATAGATGGATGATCTGCACGTGATCGCTTTGTATATGCGTTATGCATCCACGAAATTGCATCCGCAGGCGATGCGGCCTGCGGCTAGCAATGCTGAAATTTAATAGGATATCGATACTTTAACTTTTTTTATATATCAAATGCCGACATTTATGTATCAAGTATCGACATTTTCTTCATACTTAATATATCATACATATTCATGTCGATGTTAGCGATAAACAAGGAGAGAAAGACTTTTCATAGCAATTAAATCCATAAAGGTCGACGTATAGATTAACATTTTTATTCGAACGTTTCGAGCGTATTGGTATTATTTTTCATTCTCAATTGCGAAAGAATAAATCATCGATAGTAACGCTCAATTTAGGAAGAACAAAGTATCGATGGCCCGATATTACTCATTTACGTTCATATGTTACGTGGAAATTAATTAATGAACGTAGAGATAAACGCCAATTTACCCTCGATCGTATCATTTTCGGGCGATTCAGCGAAATTCGCGATCCCTCTTTTCGACGTGAACGGCCTCAGTCAAATCGATAGTTCGCGAATGGAGTAACACCGAAAGCGCCGGGTCGAATCAATTTTCGGATACCGAAAATCCTATAATGGCTCTTGGAAAATTCCTGCGGCTAAGTTGAAGCGTCCCTGCGCCGAACTTGTGCGAGCTGAGAAATTCGTGACTCGTGAGGTTACTACGGATTTCCGTCTCATAGGCGAGAGGTGAGGGATGAGGTTCATTTCCATTCTTGCGAACGCACGCGTATCGTATTCATAAGCGTGTCGAATTGGCGGAAAAATAAGCCTATTAGCAATGCGACGCTTTTTGCGGCGATGCTGCGTTAAACTTCGATATCAGGGTATTTTAGAGATGAATTTTTTTCTGTCGCTTTACGTTTCGCGCCTGGAAAGTTCTAATTGTAATTGTAATTTGTCTTTTCTGTGCTGCGAGGGATGAGGTAAAATATTATAACGTATGTGTTGGAGAAAGAAATTTCGTTGGTAGAAAAAAGTTACAGACTTTTATCAATTTAGAATTTAGCACGTACAAGTTTTTATTGAACGTCATTCTAATACTTGATATTATCGTCTTTGAGTATTTTGATTACTAATTTGCGCAAAAAAATATCATAGAATTTTTGCTTGAGTTAACATTCAATCTTTACTGTAATCATATTTTATTACATAATTTTCTTTATTTCTTTATATCGTTTAATAACTGGATTGAATATTTGTATGAAAAGTATTCGCGATTCGCATTATCGATAACGAACGTTTCAATTCGCTGAATCATGGTGATCTTAAAGTCTTCCTTTTCCACGCTAACTAAGCTCCTATTTCCCTGATATTGGCAAATTCAATTTTCGTCGTCCGATAATCATAAATACCAGACTCCAGCAGTGCGTTCATTATAAAATGCCGAACTCGTTCGATTTTATTCGATAATTATCGTGTAATATTCGCACCTGAAGGCGATATTAAATTTAATCAACATTGAGATGCATAGCGACGAACTATAATATTTAAAGCTTGCACCGCGATTAATAACGTTGAGATAAATTATAAAAGAAATGTTAATTCCAAGTCTATTAATATAAAATCAGAAATTTGAGTTCTAATGAAATATCTCAATTCATGTACATAAGTATGTGCATATATAATATATAAATAAAAATAAAATATTGACATTTTTACTGTGTAAATGTATGTGTAAATATAATGTTTTAAACTTTCACAAAAGGTGCTCTTCATTTATTTTATTAAAACTCCATTTATTCACGTATGTAATTTTAGAAATATCGCTGCACAATATGGTATTATAATTGTAATATAATGTCAAATGAAAAAGCGCTATGTTGTGTGTTCATATTTTTAAAGTAATCAGAAATTGATTATAAATTAATTTTCGTTAATATTAGTAAAATGTATTCACTACACCATTTTCATTCTTGACAAACATTTTCTTGGCAAGAAATATCGAAATACACAACTCATTGTTCGTCGAAAACTTTGCCATTAGCGATTATATTCAGAACTTATTTATAAGCTTTATAAAAAATTTTAATTTTTCAACCGATAATAGTTGTGGATGATTTATGCAAATATTTACAATTATATTCTGCGTTTATAATGTCTGTGCTCTCTTATTTTGTCGGTACAGTTACGGAATAACAAAATTACGCTAACTAATAAAAGCACTTGTTTAACATTAACAATTAAACACTTTTAATCTGTTGTAAGTAAAAAATGTAAATACCGATAAAATATTTATAATTTATACTTTCAATATTGATGCTGCATTATTGTGAATAGCGCGTTGTAAGCACATTTATTTTTGTATATAATCGGTTAATAATTTTAATATTAATTCCATTTACGAGTTTTACGAGCATCAAAATAAGAAAAAAGTCATTATTTTAATCCATTAAAATTAATATAATTACATATATGATAACTTTAAAAAGCACAATATTAGATCAAAATATAATATTCTTACATAATGATAATAATAAAATTATTTTTTTTATTTGATTGATCATGAAGCAATGCATAGCACACAATCTAATATATTTTTATTTTAACATACTTGTTCATGTACTTACTAGTTCAGAAATTAATTACAGAATACCGTGCATAAAAAGGAATATAATACACGAAAATTAACTCTATAACAATGCACTCATCAAATATAGTATGTTTTTTTAATTATATTGCTGATAACAGAGTAAACAAAATTAAACATTTCTGATGAGCCGTTCGTCTGGCATCTGTACTCATATTCATCAGAGATACGTACACATAAATAACTTCAGTCTAATTATTTTTCATGCTCGAATTAACACAGGCGCGTGCATCATAATAATATAAAATAAACTCGAGCTTGCACAATTCTGTCAGTACCGTTTGCTCGAACTAACTCGGACTTATACATTAAGGGATTAATGATCCAATGTGTGTTTACGTTCAACAATTGAACTCCCTTGTAATATTTAAAATATTTTCCTTTAAATACAATTTATCGATTCAATTATCTCGCGTAAATTAGAGAACAAGCAGCACCGAAGCTATTGCACAGCTCAAAAAAGAATACCAGGAAAAATTATTTTCATAAATGTTTTCATGCTTAATAACGATTTTCGCGCTTAATTAGTTTAATGAGAAAAATCTCTCAACGTCGCCAACGAATTAAATTCGTCCGTACATATGGAAAGAGAGAGAGAGAGAGCGAGCTCTGCGTCTCTTAACTCTTATTAATGATGCTTTAAATTCTTTTATTAGTTATCGTAATTTTGTTATTCTGTAATTGTGCTGACAAAATAAGAGACCATTGACATCGTAAGCGCAGAATATGATTGTGAATATTTACATAAATCATCAATAGCTATTATCGATTAAGAAATTAAAAAATTTTATAAAGCTTATAAATAAGTTCTGAATATAATCGCTAATGGCAAAGTTCTCGTCGAACAATAAGCTGTGTATTTCGATATTTCTTGTCAAGTAAATTTTTGTCAAGAATGAAAATGGTGTGGTAAAAACATTTTATTAATATTAACGAAAATTAATTTGTAATCAATTTTTGATTACTTTCAAAATGTTAACACGCAACGGAGCGCTTTTTCACATTATTTAACATTATATTACAATTATAATATATCTATACCATATTCAGTATTTGCTGTTATTTAAATAAAATTATTTAAATGAAACTTTCGTGTTATCTTTATATAAAAAATAAAAGTATGTATTATCTATAGCTGCACATCTTACGTTATAGATAAAAAAGAATATTATCTTTACTAAATTATCTAGAATAATTTTCAAATAATTTTGATTTAAAATCATAACACATGAAAATAATGAAAGTAGAACTTAAGCAGTAAGCGATAAAAATTTATAAATAAAAATATGAATACATATATTTTCATATCCCTTTTATAATTTATATCTTTTTTATAACTGCATTTACATAAGCAGTCTGAAAAATGATTATCTAGATGAATCGTCATATAATTTTATCTTTCATCTAGACATATTTAAAACAAAATGATCTTCATTGTATCTAAGATGAATTTCCACATCATCTTTATCTATCTATTTTTTACCTCCAACATTCTCCGTTAAACTGGCTCAAAAATATGAGTTACCAAAGATAAAATTTAGGCACGATAACTAATATTTTTTTCGTATATTAATATTTTTTCGATAATTAATATCTTTTTTTCGTAATAATATTATTACATTCTCCGTTAATAAACTGGCTCAAAAATATGAGTTATTAAAGGTAAAATTTAGGCATGATAACTAATATTTTTTTCCGTGTAGTTAATTGAAAAATCATATAATCATATGTCAGTGTTGTGCTTACATGATTTTTCAATTAGCTACACGGAATAAATATGATCATTACATAACCTAAATTTTACCTTTAATAACTCATATTTTTGAGCCAGTTTCCATAATCCACAGTAACCATAATCATATGATCAGTGTTGTGCTTACATGATTTTTCAATTAGCTACACGGAAAAAATATTAGTCATCACGCCTAAATTTTACCTTTAATAACTCATCTATTTTTGAGCCAGTTTCCATAATCCATAGTAACCATAATCATATGATCAGTGTTGTGCTTACATGATTTTTCAATTAGCTACACGGAAAAAATATTAGTCATCACGCCTAAATTTTACCTTTAATAACTCATCTATTTTTGAGCCAGTTTCCATAATCCACAGTAACCATAATCATATGATCAGTGTTGTGCTTACATGATTTTTCAATTAGCTACACGGAAAAAAATATTAGTCATCACGTAAATTTTACCTTTAATAACTCATCTATTTTTGAGCCAGTTTCCATAATCCATAGTAACCATAATCATATGATCAGTGTTGTGCTTACATGATTTTTCAATTAGCTACACGGAAAAAATATTAGTCATCACGCCTAAATTTTACCTTTAATAACTCATCTATTTTTTGAGCCAGTTTCCATAATCCATAATAACCATAATCATATGATCAGTGTTGTGCTTACATGATTTTTCAATTAGCTACACGGAAAAAATATTAGTCATCACGCCTAAATTTTACCTTTAATAACTCATCTATTTTTGAGCCAGTTTCCATAATCATATGATCAGTGTTGTGCTTACATGATTTTTCAATTAGCTACACGGAAAAAAATATTAGTCATCACGTCCAAATTTTACCTTTAATAACTCATCTATTTTTGAGCCAGTTTCCATAATCCACAGTAACCATAATCATATGATCAGTGTTGTGCTTACATGATTTTTCAATTAGCTACACGGAAAAAATATTAGTCATCACGTCTAAATTTTACCTTTAATAACTCATCTATTTTTGAGCCAGTTTAACGGAGAATGTAATAAATATTATCGCTTGCTCGCATACCTGAGAATAGGATTCCTCCTGATACGGCGTCCTGCGATGGCACTCGTCGTAGCACCTGCCGTCGTAGCCGCTGGGCGGCCGTGGATACGGGTCCTGGGCCGCTACCGCGGCCGCGCAGCAGTCCGGGATCTGCGCCTGGTAGGTCTCGTAGGGACACTTGTCGGGCTGGACCGGCCTCGGAGCCTGGTGCACGCGCTCCTGCGGCCCGCCGCCGTAACCGGCGCCGGCGCCACCGCCGCCTCCGCCACCACCGACGCCGCCACCGACACCGCCAGCGTGATGCATCGTCTTCGTCCACTCCCGCAGACCTCCCCCTCTCGCCACCTGACCTCACCGCACCACCACCTCCCCTTCCCCCGATCACTGCATCCTAATCTCACGTGGAGCGCGACGCGCGATCGAATCCGCGGCGTGCCTCGTCTCTGTCGCGCGGCTCTCTTCGCACGGGTCCATCCTCATCACACTCCACAGCACTGTATACCGGGTCTTATCTTCGCTGGATGTACTCCGGGGTCGCTTTAGCCCATCTCAGACTCGTACCTGAACGATTATAGGGTTAATAAAGCGGTGGACAAGGGTGCTCTCTCGAGTACGCTCGCGAGCTCGCAACAGTATTCGTCGAATACGAAATGGACCGAACTCGTATATATATAGTCTACGCTTACTCGCGTTTACATTTAGCTACCTCATTCGAATTAATGCACCGCAATACGGATCAAACTCGGAGAACCATCTGTATTCTCTCGTAAACTGCCGCGCCGGTTCTCTTCTTTACCTACTTCGCGGACGTATTTACGAGTCGAGGAGCTTTTTTGCATTATTTACTCTAGCTCTTTTAATCTTAGTCCCTTCGGGCGCTTTTTCAGTGTCGTCTCTCGGTGTAAGCTTTTAGATACTATAGTATTCGTGGAACGGCGATGCTCGATCAACGTGCCAGACTTGATCCACCCATTGATCTTGTCTGACCCCTTGTCTGGAGGAGCGTACGATGTTGCTATGTAAACTAATGAGTTTGCAAGTAGAGGGATGAAGAATCGGTCCTATCCCGGCCGAATGCAATTTTGACGTTTTAAGAACGTCGAACATATAGCGTTGGATAATCACGTTGGAAACACGTTGTAAAATCGTTCCTTAAGTCGACAGACGACGATTGCGAGTCTTGCAAACGCGATCCACGCGATGAGTTTCGGCAAGTTTGTTTAAATTCTCTATTGAAAATTTTCTCGTAAAGGATACTTCGTCATTTCAGAGCAACGACGTGGACTTTCCTAATCTAAACTTGGAGAGTTCGTGCGTCCTTGGCTTGAGCTCGTGTATCGATATAGATCTCATTATAGATCTTGAATATATGCGCGAAACTGCATAAATTGCTTGACGTATCTATGTATGAGCCGTAATTAGCGCCTCTTAATTTATCGCATAAAAGCCATACAGGCGCGCCTGGCTGAAACTTTGATACAGTGATAGAGCAGCGTTATATAGCCAGACTGTGTAGAGAGACCGTAAAGCGTTCTACGTTTCTCTCTCTCTCTCGCTCTCGTGGCTTTTGAATGTAGAATATTATATAATCGCATAAGACGAACTAGATCGATTATCATATTTAAAGCAGCTATTTCACTTTCGTTTCATCGTTCGAGTAATTAAATGTGTGCAGTTCGTATTATATAATTATGGAAATCAAAGATTATTTTAGTCTTTATGATATTGTATTGTTCGTGTCGCGAGTGACGCTTTAACATGTTACATCACCTGAACGTTTAATTATTCCTCCAGTAGTTTGTAATTTAACATTTGTTATATATAAAATATAAAAATTATGTATAATTGAATATTGTACAATAAAATATTATTTATTATGTATTAAAATATAAAAATACGTCCTTTTCTGTCTCTGCTTTTGAGACGTGATATATTGGGAGAGAAAGAGAGAGGGAATAAGGTACACAAATCTTATTTTCAAAAGCAAATATCGCGAGTGAATGCAGCTAAAGTCTTCAGATACATTGTTGGGCTTAGAGATTAAAAACGAAAAATAAGTAATGTTTGTTTCAAAATAACATAAACGAAGTTTCTGTTCTGTTTGTTCGCAAATACACAAAATATTTTATTTTTTGTTTCTATAAGTCTAAAATAAAAAATGTATTACTTTTTAAAAATCCATTTTAAATTTTCAATAAAATGAAAAATAAAAAAATATTGTTTTTTACAGAATAAATACTTCTTTAATTAAATCCCGAGATAGAATATCTTTCATTATTAAGTATATATTTGAAATTTAAAGGAATAATGTTACTTTTATTTTTTGTCTAATTGTAACAAATACGCAATTATCAATTATCACAATATAAATGCTGTGATTAAAAATTTGCAACGAAAATTATTTATTCTGGTTTCATTCATTTTTAAATTTAATATTATTGATTTTAGTATTTTCGATTTAACTACCAATATACACGATGCCACGATTAAACTTTCATAATGATATTAATATATCTTTCACCATTCTGGTTATATATATAGAAGTCAGCGCTGCATTTAACTTAAATGGTTTTATTATTTTATTTAGATATTCATCTAAAAGTGATTGGCGATTGATATAAATACGCGCGTAATTCTTCGCCTTTGCATTATTATGTCTAAACGAAGTGAGTGGTCGCAATTTTTTTATCCATTTAATAAATTAATTAAGAGATACACTTAATCATTTACTAAATGATACACAAGAAAATAATTTTCGCCTAATTATGAAAAATAAAGGTAAAATAAGAATGAAAATTATATTTTGACGAAATAGAAAAGAAAAATGATTGTTGAGAATATTGCCAATTTAATATAATATATACTGATTTATAAATTTAATTTTATAAATATATTTTTTATAATATCAATTTAATATATACTGATTTATAGATTTAGTTTTATATATTTTTTATAATATCAATTTAATATATACTGATTTATAGATTTAATTTTATATATATTTTTTATAATATCAATTTAATATATACTGATTTATAGATTTAATTTTATATATTTTTTTATAAATATATATGTGGTTACGCATGATATCAATCATGTTCGAGTACCTACTGCAATGTTTCTTCCGTACAGCGACTTGGAACGATTGGCAAGGTGTTCTCGCGATTGATACTCGAAGCAATCTCATTATTACCCGCAATACGCCTCTGCTCTCATTTACTCGCGCCGCGTGGCACGTTTCGGACGTTTGCCGGAAATCAAAAATCCCTCCGCAAATACTTCGGAAGATATCAGCAGCGATTCTACCTCCGCTGTATCACAGACAGCATAACTTGTTTCGACCAACAAACTCGGACGTGCTCGGAACTGCAAATCCGCTGATTTTCTCGAGTGAATTAGGCGCTAGGAAGGTGGTATCGAGGGAGAATTTTTCGCGGTGCACAACGCGGATTTCGAAGATTGTAAGATAAAGTTCCAGTATAGAGTTCACAAGTCGCGGAGTTTATTCTTTTTATTATAGTAATAAGTAGTATAATAAAGAATGAAAGAGGAACATAATTGTACAAAGGCACATCTCAATTATCTCAGTTTAATGAATCATTTTTAATGATTATTTCTTTTTATTCCAAGATAATCTTTCAAAGAAGATCTATCCAATAATTGCATCCTTGAAAAGACTAAAAGATTATTAGTGGATTAATCAGAATCTTTCAAAATGCAAAGTCAAATCTTTTTCATCACTTTGATATTTGTTATCCTTTTAGAGTTTAAATTCAAAATTACTAAGAAATACATATATATTGAGAAAATATAAAATATAATGATACATTTTTTTTAAGATAATCGATCCAAAATTTGAATTTATTTATGATTTTAGAACAATCTATGCATTATCAAAGAGCAAGGAATTACGCCATTTAATCGATATCTAACAAAGATCTATCTTAAGATTAACAGATAATTTTTCGCATAGTCTATTCCAAGATAACTTTTAAAAGAAGCTCTGTCCAATAATTGCATCCTTGAAAAGACTAAAAGACTATTAGTGGATTAATAAAAATCTTTCAAAATGCAAAATTAAATCTTTTTCATCACTTTATTTTTTTAGAGTTTAAACCCAAATATGAAATATAATGATAAAATTATTTTGAAGATAAATCGATCCAGAATTTGAATTTATTTATGATTTTAGAACAATCTATGCATTATCAAAGAGCAAGGAATTACGCCATTTAATCGATATCTAACAAAGATCTATCTTAAGATTAACAGATAATTTTTCGCATAGTCTATTCCAAGATAACTTTTAAAAGAAGCTCTGTCCAATAATTGCATCCTTGAAAAGACTATTAGTGGATTAATAAAAATCTTTCAAAATGCAAAATTAAATCTTTTTCATCATTTTATTTTTTAGAGTTTAAACCCAATATGAAATATAATGATAAAATTATTTTGAAGATAAATCGATCCGGAATTTGAATTTATTTATGATTTTAGAACAATCTATGCATTATCAAAGAGCAAGGAATTACGCCATTTAATCGATATCTAACAAAGATCTATCTTAAGATTAACAGATAATTTTTCGCATAGTCTATTCCAAGATAACTTTTAAAAGAAGCTCTGTCCAATAATTGCATCCTTGAAAAGACTATTAGTGGATTAATAAAAATCTTTCAAAATGCAAAATTAAATCTTTTTCATCATTTTATCTTTTAAGAGTTTAAACCCACATATGAAATATAATGATAAAATTATTTTGAAGATAAATCGATCCGGAATTTGAATTTATTTATGATTTTAGAACAATCTATGCATTATCAAAGAGCAAGGAATTACGCCATTTAATCGATATCTAACAAAGATCTATCTTAAGATTAACAAATAATTTTTCGCATAGTCTATTCCAAGATAACTTTTAAAAGAAGCTCTGTCCAATAATTGCATCCTTGAAAAGACTATTAGTGGATTAATAAAAATCTTTCAAAATGCAAAATTAAATCTTTTTCATCATTTTATCTTTTAAGAGTTTAAACCCACATATGAAATATAATGATAAAATTATTTTGAAGATAAATCGATCCGGAATTTGAATTTATTTATGATTTTAGAACAATCTATGCATTATCAAAGAGCAAGAAATTACGCCATTTAATCGATATCTAACGAAGAATCTACCTTAAGATTAACAGATAATTTTTCGCATATGATTCATAAAATAAGTCTGGAGCACAGGAGTGCAGGAGAGGGTCAGGACGAACCTGCAGTCTCCCGGTACACGCGCGCGCAATCCCGCTCTCCCGGAAACCCGATTCGATCACGAATTCAGTGTGCGCGCGCGTAGAGAGCGGCCTCCCGCCGGATTTAGTTCGCCCTTTTGTTTTATTTCACTTCTCATCTCTGACCGTTTCTCTCTCTTTCTCTCGTACCGCATTCTCGAGACAGCAGAGCGGCGCCTTCGATATATGTACGTGTCTTCTTACAGCCCGATGTATTTTCCGTCTGAATCCTCAAGTTCCGCCGTAGTCCTCGGTGTAAGCGATAAGCGCGGCCTCCGTCCATGAAAACCAAAGCTCTTCCGGATTCTCAATGATTAGCCGGAACGGTAGCCGGGAAATAGAACGAAATGGTACCGGCGAGCTCTCTTGTTCGAGAGAGAGAGAAAGAGAGAGACTGCGACTTCCCACGCGCGCACTGTTTTATTCATCGCTTGTAGTCACGACAATGCTGGTCTGACTTTGGCTCCGTTCCGGTCGATTCCACGGACGGTTCGATTAATCGACCGGAATTTTGTTTCTGTTTCGATTTATTCTGAAACTCACGTCCGGGGAGCAATCGTTTCATCATCCTTCCATCTATCGTGTTCTCGCTTCATAACGCGAATCTCACACAATTTCTCGTTCTCTTTAAACATGTATATAGAGATCTCTCATAAATATTGAGGAAAAAAGTCCGCCTCTCTCTCTTTTGCCTCGCCGTCCATTTATGAAGTTATTATTAAATAATTTGGAATACCGAGATACTTTTTCTCATAACAAAATGTCGAGATAGAAGCGATCAATTATGAAAAAGCTTCAACGAATTAAACTACCGGATTACAAGCTACTGCAAATTACGTTTTACTTTTCAGGCAACTTTTAAGACTTGGTTTTAACAAAATTTCAAATTCACTTATCAATACTTGATGTTGGAATTTCAAGCGTTGCGAAAAAAAGGATAACATCCGATAAATAATTTTCGTTGAAGAAAAGTTGACTTTAAATTAGTCGAAGAATCCGAAAGAAGAAGAGGAAAAGGAAGATGAAAGTTGCGGCGAAATTTCAGGGCATCTTGTGTATTTACGAAAAATCTGAAGAACCGTCGAGAGATTGTCGATAAGAAGAGCTCGTTAGTAATAAGACTCCGAGTGCGCAAACTTGAGAAAGTTTCAATAGACCGTCGAATTCTTCTCCGACCGCTTGTAGCCCGATCGGAATGCATTTGCCGACATTTTAATATTCTATGATGGAACGTGACTACCGCAGTGACGTTTCATACATCTATTTACTAGACGGATTTTTATGCACTTTTCGTGCCGCAATACGACATAGGTTAACACGTCGCGCTTTACAACCGAAGTTTAATAAAATATCCCCGACGACGTCGCGCATTTAAGCACGGCATTCGAACGTTTTCCGTTCGATAATGTAAAACTTTTAAAGTCCAGCTTCTTCACGTAGCTTGCATTGTATCAATACATGATTTTCCCGGAATTGTCTATTATCCAAAAAATTAATTTACAATAACAATCAAACTCGAAAAATATTATTTTCAAGAGAATAAATTAATTTTTTTGATAAATTATTCAGCAAAATTAAAT